TCTTATACTTCGGAGTGTCTTATAGTCTGAAAAATATGGTAGATCTATACTAGTCTCCCTTTATTTCTTTGTTGGTAAAATATAAATTTAACACAAAATCTAAGGTGTTTTACAATTTTTGCATCCTGTTAAAAGAGAGTGAATTTTTGAATTGATTTTAAGATGGAAAGGCAACCCTTTATTTTGTCCTTACTTAAAACGAACAATGTTTAAATGGAACAGGAATGGTCCAACCTTCCCCCAAATCTTTTTTGAATCAGAAGGATAAATCCTCCACGCCTGGTTTGAAGTCCAACCCTCCCACGCCAAGGAGCGAAGTAGCGACCCCTGGGACGAGCAGCACCCCGGGCCTCCGACCGGTGCCAGGCAAGCCCCCTGGAATGGACCCCCTGGGTAGGTTGTGTTTGGCCTCGGTCCCCTTGGGGGGGGGCTGGGGGGGGCTTGCACCCCAAGACGGAGGGAGAAGTTTGGATGGCAGGCAGGAAGGGATCCTCTAGGCCCAGGACAAGAACACCAGCCATTCCATCCCCTTCTAGTCTCCCTTTCAGAGCCTCCAGGGGCTCCATCAACTCCTGTCTCAGCCGGTCTGGGACTCATTAGCTCTCTTGCTGCTCAGAATTTATCCTTGCACCCTGGCCCAGTTTGGCTTCCCTGCCAGTTAGAGCTGCGGTTCCTTGCCCTCTGCAGGAGCCTCCCGTTAGGACTTTGGACAAAGGATGGTAGCAGCCTCGTTTCTGGTGCTCCGTTTGATGGCCCAATCTTGCATTTCGTTTTGGATTGTTTGCTTATTCTTTGACTCTTTCTAGCATCTGCCTTAAGGACGCCCGTCTCCCTCACCAGCTCTTATGCTGCCCCCTTCGCCATGATGGGGCCTCACGAGATGAATGGCTCCCTTGCCAGCCCTGGGGCCTATGCAGGATTGCACAACATCCCCCCTCAAATGACAGCCGCTGCCGTTGCCTATGGCCGGTCACCCATGGTGAGCTTTGGAGCTGTACGTAGACCTTTAAGCTCCTATATCTATACGGGGGGGGGGGGGGGGGGGGGGGGAGGCGGGCGGCCACCCCGGGAGGAAGGAGGCACCCCCCTTTCTTGCTTTTTTCAATATTTTTTTTTTATTTTTCATTGTTAAAATACAACAACCAAAAGGGGGACACACAAAGGAAAGTAAAACTAGACAGGGCCAAAAAGGAAAAGAAATTAATTTATTTATTCAATGTATATTGCTGCCTATTCGCACATGGCGACTCAGGGCGGCTTACTATAGAATGTAAAACCACATTTAAAACCATATAAAACTAATAAAAGAGAATCAAATATATGAATATAACATAATAAAATCACCCCCCTCCCGCTCTGGGTTCCCCAGGCCCGCTGGCAGCACCAAGGCTTCAGCGCCTTCCGGAAGAGTGTGCATAAAAAGGGGGAGAAAACCAGAGGCCTGAATTGTTCCAGTGAAAAAAAGGGGGAATACCAATAAATACATTTCAAGAATAATAGTCCCCCCCCCCATCTTACAAAACAGGCACACAGTTTATGGACTTCTTCAGCTCCGTTTACCCAACCCCTTTGATCTGACCTCTATCCACTCTATAGAAAAGGAAGGATGCTCACTTCATTTCAGGCTGGGTGGCGTAAGACTTTTGAAGGCGTTGGTTTTGCCTCCCCGGGTCCTTTACGCTGCCTTTTAATCCCACTTGGTAGGAACCAGACCTTCCAAGCACCTTCACAAGCATCTCACGCAGCTTTGCAAGTCCGAAGGAGGGCCGGCCTGGGACTTCTCCGCCTCCTGGGAAGCGGCCTGAGGGCCGCAGAAGGGACTGGTGGCTGTGGCTTACCTCCAGGGCCAGAGCAGCTCAAGGAGGGGGTCCCCCCAGGCCCCAATCAGGCTATGAGGGGTTGCTGGGTCTGAACGACGGCCAGCCCCTCACCCTGAGGGGAGACCTAGTTTTAGGACCAAGGGATCTGGCCGAAGGCTTTCTTGGTGGACGTCAAGATGTCCTGCAATGAAAACAACCCCCTGCAGGGGAATTGGCGCCTGTGCCCTGCGTCCTCCGTGTGGCCTCTTAGGAGCCTTTGAGTGGAGGACCTGCCCTCTTCCATGTCCTTCTGCCTCTGTGGCCTCTGACCGCTGGGGCTGAAAGGCCAGGGGTTGGGGGTCCCTGGGGTCAGAAAGGGGGGCTGTCCCTGAATCCTTTCCTGGAGGTGGGAATCGGGGCTTCTACCCTTTTATGGAGGGCCTTTAAAACTCTCATTTCTAGGTTGGGTTTGACCCCCACCCCCCAGTGAGGACTCCTGTCCTGCCCTCCAGCCTGGCATCCATTCCTGGCGGCAAACCGTGAGTTGCTCCCTCAGCCTTTGTCCCCAGGTCCAGTCTTCAAACTTTTTTAGTCTTGAATCTTGTTCTGTAGAGAGACGGCCACTTAATAGGGAGTGTGTGTGTGGGGGGGGGGGGGGTAGGGGGGTAACTTGCCTTCCCAAATGTGGCAAGTGCCACAAAGGTAGCCTGAGACTGATCCGTGGGTCTGAGGCTGGAGCCTGAGGTGGCCCTTGGTCTGTGGGTCGGGGTTAATTCGGTGGTTGGAAAGGGCTCACCTCTGCCCCCACCCCACCCCCCGTCCTCTCCCTAGGGCGTACTCCTTTCACGTCAGCACCGATGGGCAGATGCAGCCAGTCCCGTTTCCTCACGATGCCCTTGCCGGCCCCGGCATCCCCCGCCACGCCCGTCAGATCAACACCCTGAGCCATGGCGAAGTGGTGTGTGCCGTGACTATCAGCAACCCCACCAGGCACGTGTACACAGGGGGAAAGGGCTGCGTGAAGATTTGGGACATCAGCCAGCCGGGCACCAAGAACCCCGTCTCCCAGCTAGACTGCTTGGTAAGGGGCAGGGCTGGCCGCTGTCTGAACCTGGCCTGTGAAGTCAGGTCATCCCCGACTGAGCTGCCAACCGGGGGGTTTGTGGGGCTGCCCACCTCCAATGGCTTCTGCTGGTCCCATGAGATCCAGCAAAGGAGACCCCTCCCGGGAAAGGAAGGGCGGCCTTCCCCCCTCACGCGGTTTGGATGCTCTGACTTTGCTGGCCTTCCTGAAGGCGCTAAGCGCACAGAGGTTCCTTGGAGCCCCGCCTGGGTCAGGCTGTGGGGTGAGCCCACCTTCGTGGGATGGTTCCAAGTTTTGGCAACTGCTCCACGGACGGCGTTGGTTGGTTTCTTATCATTGTGGTTGCAGTGGTCGTTGGCCGCCCAGAGACGAGCGTGGCTGGGTGGCCAGAGGAGGAAAGTCCTCCCCTGACTCTTCCTACAGCAGCCGGATGGGCAGGGTGGCCTTTGGGGGGCAGAACGTCAGAGTCTGAAGGCCAGATGGGAGGTCACGAAGTAGAGCAAGCCAAGGCCAGGGCTCCGGGAGGGGGGAGAGAGGCGGGTGGGGGTGGCTTTAAAAAATAATCAAGTTAAAGCCTTGCAGACATTTAATGATGCTGATCTTCCTGTCTCCATGAAGAGTTATAATCCCAAATCCGTCGGAGCAGGTGGGGCCCCCAGGCCTTTCGGAGGGGCCCGGCCGTCGCTTTCCTTGTTGCACGGTTGACTGGGGCCGCTTCTCTCTCTCTCCAGAACAGGGATAACTACATCCGTTCCTGCAAACTCCTTCCCGATGGGCGCACGCTGATTGTGGGGGGGGAGGCCAGCACCCTCACCATTTGGGACCTGGCTTCCCCCACCCCCAGGATCAAGGCCGAACTGACCTCCTCGGCCCCTGCCTGCTATGCCTTGGCCATCAGCCCAGATGCCAAAGTCTGCTTCTCCTGCTGCAGCGATGGGAACGTTGCCGTCTGGGATCTCCACAACCAGACCTTGGTTAGGTGAGCTGAGGGGTGGCTGGCACGGACGGTGTGCAGGCTGCGACCGCCTCCTCTTGTTTAGAAGTCGGCTTCTCGCTGTCTGGCACAACAAAATTACGTCTCTCAGGAAATAAAAGAGGAGAAGCCAAACGGGTGGGACAAGAAGAGCTGCTTATTCCAGCCCTTCCTTGCACCGAGGACTCGTTGCTTACGTGCCTTGGCTCTCCGGTCTGCCAGCCAGATGCCCGAGAGTTCCTTCGGGGGTCAGCCAGGCGTTTTTCATCATTGCAAGGGAAGGAATTTGGGCTCGTGAACCCCCAGATTCTGCTTTGTCCAGGTTCCTCTGGTGTGGTGCCGGTTGTGCCCACCTCTGGACCAGGGTTCCTTTCTGGTAGCCACTCGTGCATGGAGTGCGGCATTGGGCTCTCCTGGGGCTGAACATCAGCTTCACCCAGGGCAGCCCCCCAGGAGCTGGAAGTAATGCAGAATGCAGCCATGTGGGCGGTTATGAGCCATCAGGGTATCAGGGTTGGGCCAGTCACCAGTGGGCATCTGGGTACAACTGAAGCATAAATCAAGCCTTTGGGGTCTCCCTTTTTGTCTGCCCAGGGTCCCATCCGTCAAACAGGGTCGTCTAAGGAGTCCTGGGATAAAGGTCCTGTCTCAGTGGGGTCACTTCCCCCCTGCAGGAGTTTGTGTGGCCTGACCTTGGGGCCCTGGCAGTGGGAGCCTCCCCTTTCCCCAGGCGCTGGGGTGCCCCCTTCGGTACTTGCCTGATACCATCTTTTGTGGGGGAGGTGATTGGGCTTGTGTGGCAGACTGGCCGGAATGAATCGAGTGGCTCTGTAAATGTCACAAGTAACCAGAAACAAGAGCCGATTCTTGGCTCCCTTCTTTTTTTTTTTTTTTTGAAACAAAGTTTGTATTTTTTACAACAGACATACAAACAAAACATAAAAACATAAAGCCCTCTTTCAATTATATACCTACAGTGTGTCAGTTGGTTACAATCTTTTGTGCTATCCTTTTTTTACCATTCCTCACAAGTTATATAAATTCTCACCTTGTTAATTTAGCTTGTGCTTATGTAATATCAATTATTAAACATTCGTTTGACTATTTTTCCATCATTTTATGAGAGAGATTCTAATTTTCATGATGACTTAATCTTATCCATTGGCTCCCTTCTAAGGCAGTTCCAGGGTCACACAGATGGCGCCAGCTGCATTGACATCTCCCATGATGGCACCAAACTCTGGACAGGGGGCTTGGACAACACCGTGCGCTCCTGGGACCTTCGGGAAGGCAGGCAGCTACAGCAACATGACTTCACCTCTCAGGTGAGCTTTGTCTTCACCCCAGAGGCCCAACCCCTCTGAGCCTGAGTCCTTGCAGGCAGGAAGAACTAAAAGGACCAACCCAGAAGCACCAGGTTGGTGGAGGTGGGCTCTAGGACCAAAAGGAGCCTGATCTGTGGCCCTTGGCGGCTCCCAAACTTGCTCCTGGAATCCCAGCCTGAGTTGGATTTAAAATTCGCGAAACCCAACCAGGGGTTCTTCCTTACTTCAGACTGGCTTTGCCTTGCAAACTAAGGCCCCTGGTTGGGTTTCGGGAGGGGTGTGTCCTGGCAGCAGAACCAGCCTCCCCTCTTCTTTCTCCTCCTTGGATTGAGCTGCTCCTTGCCTTCTTTGCAGATCTTCTCGCTCGGCTACTGCCCAACCGGCGAGTGGCTTGCAGTGGGATTGGAGAGCAGCAACGTGGAAGTGCTGCATCACACCAAGCCTGACAAATACCAGCTTCACCTGCACGAAAGCTGCGTCCTCTCACTGAAGTTTGCCTATTGTGGTGAGTGGCTCTTGGGGCGAGGATGCCGTTCAGTGGCAGGGATTGATCCCGGCAGGTTGGTGGTCCCAGAAAAGGCTTCTGGAGACCTGGGAGGGACCAGGCATTTCCTGAAGGTGTGCAGCTTTTCACCCCTGCAGCAGTAAGGGGAACTCCATGACCTGCCCATTTTGAGAAAAGGGGGGGAGAATAGGAGTCAGGAAGAGGCTGGGTCCCCTGGCAGGGAGTTAGGAAAGTCCCTTGGACCTAGGATGCTTTCCGCATTCCAGCCTTGTTTCCTTGTCGGGAAAGCTAATGCCCGGTTTGTGTCCGTAGGGAAGTGGTTTGTGAGCACTGGGAAAGACAACCTCCTCAATGCCTGGAGGACTCCCTATGGAGCCAGCATCTTCCAGGTGAGAGATTTCTTTCCCCTGGGTTGGGGGAAGGCTGGCAGGGGAGCAGGCGTGGCTCCTCCGAGTCTTGAGCAGCCTGCAACTTGCCCCATGTTCTTGCAAAGAGAGCCACCTGCACGCCTGTTCTCCGTTCTCTTGCTGCCTGCACATAGTTGCAGAGGCACCAGCAAGAGACTTGCTGATATTGCTGTCTGACCCTGTGAAAACTAAAAGGGATTGTTTCTTTTTATTTTCCCCATCAAGTCAAAAGAATCTTCTTCCGTTTTAAGCTGTGATATTTCAGCAGATGACAAATACATTGTCACAGGTTCGGGTGACAAGAAGGCCACAGTTTACGAAGTAATCTACTGAGTAGCTATGACTCCTGTAGAAGAACACGAAAAGGAGAGCAGCTGCGGAGTCCTTCGATGCCCTCCGGAGGGCTTTATGACCTGGGTGGATCTTCTGTGGCGGCCTTGGAATAATAACTCTGGAAGGAATTGGGAATCAGCTCCGTCCAGCTCTGATCAGGGGCCACGCATTGTCCCTGCTGGTCTGTGTCTGTCTTTCCCTTGGTTCTTAGTCCTCACACCTGTGACCAGAAGGCAGCTAACACCCTGGATTTGCATTCAGGAGGGGCCACGGGCCTCCTTTCCCCGTCAGACTTGTCGGAACTGTAGATAAGAGAGGAGCTTCATGCCGACGCCTCCTTGGCCTGCTAGCCAGCAGCGTGTTGTGGCCCCCCTTGTTTCCTGCTGCTGCTGCTGCTGCTTCCTTGCCCTGCCCTCGTTGTGTCCTGCTTCCGTCTTGCTTCCACTCTGGTGGTGGCTACCATCCTTTTCCCTCCCTGCCCTCCCCTTGAAAATAGGCTTGGAGAAACTCTTACCAGCCTTGTCACCAGCCTGAGCAAAGGGGTCCCCCGTGAAATGGCTTCCTCTGCTGGGTGTGTGAAGTGGTTCTTCTGGCGTTGAGTCTTCTCTCTGGGCCAGGTTTGAGCCTCCAATTGGACCCTTCTCTCCCGATCCCGTCGGCAGTGGAGAAGTCGCTGTTTTCAAAGCACTTGTCAGCTGGGGCAACCGGATGCCTTGTCCACCAACGGCCTTCAGACCCAAAGACGGAGAGGATGCGTGTTCGAGAACACAACAGTTAACGCTCAGGGACCCAAGAAAAACATAATAGCAACTTGTGCTGGGATTTCTTTTCTTTTTTTTTACTCCAATGAAAGTAAAGTAATGGATAATAATGTTTAAATGCAGGTTGTTTTTAAGTTTACTGATGAACATGGTTTCTCTATGGGATGGTGGACAGTGGGGTTCCTGTGGCTTTTGGCAATCCGTGTTTCAGCCTGTTGGCCTGAGCAAAAATTGTATGTGGGGAAGGGAGCAGGGAGAGGGATGAGCCATTCCTGGCATTTTTTGTACTAAAGGAGTGAATAAAATTAAACACAGGAAATTACGTATTTGTGTAGCAGAAGATCTTGCCTTGTAATGTAGCATATGAAAAAGAATTTTTATACCACATTTTATGGATTATTTTTTAATTGTTAATTTTGATCTGGTTTTTAAAAAGGTAACTATAGCTTAATGGTGAAAAAAAAAGCCTACCTGTTTCTATTAAAGGCCATGCTGATACACAAAGGAAGATTCTTTGTCTGGGATGCCAAATCCTTGGGTTGAGTCTCTTTTTCCTTCCACTGAACTGGCAGGCCGAAGGTGCTTGAGCTAGACGGTCGGTGGCATTGGGTCGGGTCGTAGATGCTCCGTGTGCATTTCTGGATGTGTGAACCAAGATTAACGGGAGCATTCATATAGGTAGTTACAGGTTAGCTACCCCCTCCCCCCAAAATAGAGGGGAGAATTGTTATAAATCATGATTCTGCTTTGTGCTGGTCTACATTTTATGTTCATTAAACTTTGCAAATGAGCAAGTTTCCAATAACTTGAGGTGTGAAGTTAGTTAATCACTTTTCAGCCAGGCTGCAATAGCTTCCCCAGAAGCTATGAATTTCTAGCAGAAATTCATTCTTAGCATCATATTTTAAGAATATTTATAACCCAAACATACCCTGTTTTTCTCATTGTTTGTAGACTATGTTCCCTTATTGTTAGAACTGTCCTTCGCTGAAGAATTGGAAATGAGGCTGCTTGGAGGATTCTATTCTATACAGATCTTCAATGCTGGTATGTGCTGGCAGCTGATGTGGAAATCGATCTGGCCAGAAACTGATGCAGGGGTGGCCCCAACTGGAATGTGCCTTCACCTACTGCTCCCCGAGAGGCTCCTAAAATTCAAAAGAGTGGGTCAGCTGTGAAATGCAGGAGGGAGGGTCATTGAGCTGCCGATTGCCGCACTAAACTGGATGTCAAAGAAACATTGGCTGGAGGGAAGAAAGTCGAAAAACTTCCAGCCAAGCAGCGTGAAACAGAATAGAACAGAACAGAACAGAACAGAATAGAATTGAATTGAATTGAATTGAATTCTTTATTGGCCAAGTGTGATTGGACACACAAGGAATTTGTCTTGGTGCAAATGCTCTCAGTATACATAAAAGAAAAGATACATTCGTCAAGAGTCAAGAATCATAAGTTACAACACTTAATAATAGTCATAGGGTACAATAATAAGCAATCAAATCATACTTGGAAACAGTCAATATAAATTGTAAGGATAAAAGTGACAAAGTGGGAGGGGATGGGCGATAAGGAGTGATGAGAAGATCAACAGTAATAGTAGTGCAGACTTTGTAATTGTTGAACAGGGTTGAGGGAATTATTTGTTTAGCAGTGTGAAACAGCCCTGAAGGCTGTGGAAATCATTGAGTTCACTCCTCCAGGAACAGAGTTGGGAACTCCGACCACTTTGGATGTGAACTCCTCCTCCATTTGAACTCCTCCTCGCTAGGAGCGCTCCCACAGCCAGCAGGAAGGAGGAGGCTTGGCGGGTGCCAGAGGGGAGAGCTTTGCGGCTCTTGAGAGGAGGAATCGAGCTTCCCCCTTGCAACATCTTCACCTGAGGGCATCGCTGGCAGCTGGTCAGCCTCCTCAGTGCACAGAGGCAGGAGGCAACACCAGTTCAGAGGTTCCTCCCATCCGCACCTCTTGGGGGGGGGGGAGAGAGAGGAAGAGAGAGAGAGGGGAAGAGAGAGAGTGAGGAAGAGAGAGAGTGAGGAAGAGAGAGAGAGATCCCGGTGTTTTGTTTCCTGTGGGAAACTGGTCCAAATGACTGAGTGTTTAAGGTTTCAGAAACAGGTGGTCAAGCTAAGTGCCTGAAGGACCCCATCCCATCCCATCAGTGGGAGTCCAGGAGCTTCAGCAAGTGGCATGCTGGATTCATATTAATGGTCCACAAGATTTAAAATTATGAATTTGGTGGTCCCTGAGGTCCAAAAGGTTGGAGACCCTGCTCCAGAGCATCTGAAAAATGCAGGCTGTTGGAAGTGAAGAATCTCCCAACCTCCTTAACTAATTAAAGGTATCCAGATGTTTCCCCCTTGCTCTGATTCCTTTACAACTTCATCAGCTCATTGGAATTCTACTATTTTTCTTTAAAAAGCCAATGGTTTAAGAAATCACAAGAAGGGAATTGTTTTCAAAAGAGAGAGACTGCAACTGCGTAAGTATTCATTCCTACAATGATGGCAGACTCTAATAATATAAGCAGTTTTAAAATGTACTAAAATCAGAAAATTTATGTAGCATGACCAAATTTAAATTATATATTACAGCATTATAATTGACTTTTTAAGGAGAGATTAAATGTATTTTATGCCTCGCTAACAAACAGCTACATTTACTTAATTGTTTGGAGTACAGAGTTTCTATGATTCATTAAATGCCACATTTGCTGGGTACATTACACAGTGACTAACACAGCTGGCTTCGAGCAATTAAAAGAGAGGAAGCAACCAAAATGTGGGAAATTGCTATCTAGAGCAGTGTGGTGAGAATGGTAAGAAAAAAAATATGCTCAGGTTTTGCACCATTTGATGCTAGCCATTCTGGCAGACTTTCTGAGATGCTGGCTGGGGGTGGTTCAGATGGGAGCCTGACTTTTGATTGAGTTGCATAAAAGCTTTGATTGCTACTTGTTAGCTTTATTTTACAGAAACACTGTGTGTGTGTGTGTGTGTGTGTGTGTGTGTAGATAGAGAGATACAAGATGCATGTGTTTTAAAAGTATCCTGAATCAAATCAAAAGGCTGACAGTTAGTGGAAATCAGTGCTATGAAAATTAGCAGAGAGTTGCTAAGTATGAGTCTAGAAACACTGAATAATTACATACATATTGAAATAATAAAAGTAGCAATTTACTAAGCAAGGGAAATAATAACCCTAGTAGTAGCTATTTCAAGAAAACTGCTTTGCTCAAGTCAGGCCAAGGCCCTCCTGGATGTTGTGCTGCCTCATCTCTTGGTTTGGAAACATGCTTTAGTTCAGTGGGATTGGAGATCCCTTCGCTGGCCAGTCTCCAGACAGAGAGACAATAAGAACGGATGGCCCAGCTTCCTTGTGTCAGGGATACCCAAGTATTATCTCTTTGCTTCATGCATGCAAAGGCATCAATTGAGGCCCCTGAACAACAAAGGGCCGTAGCTGAACGTCAAGTGAACAGCGCCATCTTCTGCTGGAATTCTGAACTGTTGATAGGGTGCCTCTGCTAATCTGAGCATAGTAAGTGGTTGAAGAAGTAAAAGGAATGAGCACCAACTGGGATTTGCAGGACAACAGGGAATCTGCAGCATAATTTTATATGCACGCTAAATTTCAAAAGAGTGAATTTTAAAATCCTTACAAAAGAAATTAAGTGCAATCCCATGCAGGAGTGTTTTGATAATAATTGCATTGCACCAACATTCTAATTGAGAAAATGTTTGAAATCATTGTGGGTGGCTTAGGGAGCTTTCAGACGAGCTGGGCATTAAAAAGAGGGTCTAGTCTAGTTCAGTGGTCGCAAACTGGTGGGCTGGGAGTCACTGGTGGTCCATGAGAAAATGGTGGTGGTCCGCAGAGAAATGTCCTCCCCAAAGCAATTAATCCAGGCTGCGCGGGAACACAAGGCTGCGCTGCTCACATGGCCTGCGGGAACACAAGGCTTGCATCGCTTGCATTGCGAACAACACGAGGGAGTGAGGAGAGGGGGGAAAGGGCAGAGGGGGGGAACTTGCCCCACTCGCTCCACGTGCCTGGCCTGGTCACCGGGCTGCTTCTCTCCGCTTCTTCCTTCTTCTGCTTTTGGCTGCACGCAGGGAAAGCAGCAGAAGTCTTTCTTTCTCTCCCCCAAACTCCACCAGAAATGAGTCTTTGGGACCCTGCAAGGCCTCCTGCTTCAAGAGGCTGCGCCGGCAAAGACTCATTTCTGGCGGAGTTTGGGGGAGAGGAAGAAAGACTTCTGCTGCTTCTGCTGCTTTCCTTGCATGAAGCCAAGTCTCTCTCTCTCTTTCTCTCTTCCCCTGAAAACGGAGTGGAGACGGTATTCTGCAACCCCATATAAAGAACGATTGATCGGTAGGAAAACAAGAGTGGGGAATTTTTCTGCAGACTTTTTTGGGGATTTTCCCAGGGTCTCTGCAGACAGGATATTGTCTCTCCAGTGGTAGTACAATTTTTTTACTACCGGTTCTGAGGACGTGGCTTGGTGGGCATGACAAGGGAAGGATAATCAGTCTTAAAAGGGGAGTGGCAAAAATGTGTAGCAAACCAGTTATCACCTATACACGAAGATGTCACGATCAAATATTCAGACCCAAATTTTGGACTTTGCCATGGAAACTTGGACAGCAATGATTCAGAGAAGACTTTGATATTGAGATAAGCATGGCGCCAGAAGTGAGCAACTTCTAAGCCAGTTTTGTTTTAGTGTCTGATCCACTAAAATGCCCCTTCAGTTTTGATCTCCCAAGAAAAATCTGAACAGTGCTCAACCAGATCCAAACTTACCATGGCAGGTGCCAATATTGGAAATATAAATGGGCTGATGATGATGATGTGGGAATGTCCCATAAATTATATCATATATTGCAACAGAATGCTCCCCGAGGATCCCTGCACGAAATAAATCATCTTGAAGGCATTGCTGCCCAATGGCTAAACGATCTAAATATCCAGCCATTAGGTTTAGTCACTCCAGTAACTTCTCATACATTTATTTGTAATTTCATTCATCACCGTTTTTAAAATAATTAACTACTTTGGTGCTTTATATTTTGACACACATTTTATGTTGTTTCTGTGAATT